ACGAAGATATATATTTTTGCATGTGTATATACAATTTTCTCTCGCGTTATACAAAACAGAAACAGAATTCGTACACTTCTATGTATAAAGCGAGAGAGGCGAGCGAGATTTTTGGGAGAGAGACGCCTGACAAACTTTAGCTGACGTTTGCTATGGAGCACAATTTAATCAAACTCTAGCTACTCCATTTATTTTAGGTTATTAGTTTGCTATTATATACAATTTTCCCTATAAAAATTTCACTTTCTAACGAATTAATAAAGCAATAATTAATGGAAAGCAACTAAGGTTTTGTGCCCTATAATATATTTCAACAATATTAGCTCTTTGATAGTTACTTGTGCCTGTTTTAACACTGTCATCCCTCATAAAAATAAATAATAAATTTACAAAAAAAGAATAAATAAATACACGTGTTTCAAACTTTGTTAAGTACGTCAACTCCCAAGTGCAAAGACTATATATTTAACTAAATTAAAGATTTGATTTCTTAAATATATTTGAAGTTGTACATAGTAAAAAACTTACAGATTTTAAATTCTGATTTTTTTTTTCGAATCTATTTCTCTTTCTGTCTCAATTTTCATTTAATTGAGCATAAAATTTAATAAATAAAACGAAATTTTTAAATTTTGTGAATTTAAATTAAAGCATATGTATAAATATGTTATCTAACTTGATGGCTCATACTTATGTCCATTTTTGAGAGTGTACAAGTAGACATTTAAAATTATATATAGTTGAACAAAGAAAAAAAAACACATCGCTCATGACATCCAACATGAAAAATTTGAGTCATACACGTATTATGTCACGTAAAACTCATTTATCTACTTGTGCATCTCAAAATTAGAACTTGAAAGGCACAAAAGCGAAATAAGGTCAAATTAAATGATATATTTATAACAATCTTTTCGAAACGAACGGAAAAAATATGACGTTCTAAATACATACACATATGACGTTCTAATACAATGTCACTAAATATTTTCTTTTTGCAACATGCATGTTTTTGTTGACCCAAAAGGGAACCAATCTACCTTAACGAAATCTATAAAAGTAGTTATATTATATTATTATAATAACGTATTGGGAATTGAACCACCATATATTGTGCTCAATATAGGCCAAAAAGTATCTAAAAACATATCCTTTCTTGCTATATTACTTGTATCGTTAGTTTTCGAGTTTTTGAAATAAGGTTCAATATTTAACATATCAAAATAATGGAAAGGCGTATGAAGTCGAAATTACCTCCGGCAGGTCCAAAAATTGAAAGGAAATATGTGGAGAAAAATAGAAGGAATTATATGAAGAAACTCTATAATCAACTTCATTCCTTGATCCCTACGTCTAAGGTTTGTTTTACAAAATTCTATGTTTTTGTATTAAAATGTTGAATTCATGAATTGTGCGCATAATCAATCATTCTCCTCTCCTCTCCAGAAAAATTCTGAATTCACCTCTACGTTGCTTAGCATAATGATAGTTTGCTCTTACATCATGTGCATGCACGCAATGACAAATTTAGAGTATGAGTTATGGGCTCGATCGAACTTTAATTAGTAGCTTTGATCCAAAACCTGTATTTTATTTAAAGAAAAGTTATATGGATATATGTAACAAATTATAAATTTGAAACCTAACAATTGAAAAGAAGTAATGAGGGTTCGGACCAGAATTTCAAATTCATAAGCTTTAAATTTAGACGTCGCTTCTCTCCATGCATGTATATTTCTTGTATCATTTACAATTTTGAGTGTTGCAGGAAACAATAATGACAGTGCCAGATCAAATAGATGCAGCAGTGAATTACATAGAAAACTTGAAAATGAATTTGGAGATGAACAATAAGTACTTGGAAGAATTGAAAATGGGCCTAAAGAAGGCCCAATCATTCAACCCAACTAATGAGCCCGGCCCAATCACAAAGTCACAACCTCAGATTGAATTCCATGAAATGGGCCCAAACATGGTTGTTGTTTTAATAACTAGCCTTAATAATATAGCCACTTTTAATAACATCATTCGATTATGCTATGTGGAAGGTGTTGAAGTTGTGTCTACAAGATTTGAACTCAATGGAAACTCAACACTACAAATTTCTCATGAAACAACTAAGGTAATGATGGAAAAATAAAAGTTGAAAGTTGAAAATGTTTTTAAACACTAAAAAATAGCTGATGTTTATGAATCGTTATCGACATTCAATTTTTTGCAGATCAATAGAAGCTCAGCGATGGAATTAATAGGTACAAATTTGTGTGATAAGATGAAGGAGTTAATTTATGGACCCTCTTATATGGAATCTCAATTACATTTATGGGACTACAAAATTGAATTTGATACATTGGAGTACTACTTATTACCAACAAGAAGTAAAAATCCAAACATGTATAGTTACATGCAAAATTAATATTTTATTCCTACCTTTTTATGTTTTTTCATTAGTATTGAGTTGTAAAATTATAAACTATGGATGTGCTTGATAAGAAAGGAAAATATTTTCATGAAAAAAAAATTCTATTTATTTTCTTATATTTGATAATTAAACATATATAAGATATTGTCTAATGTAGTTGATTACTATTATTATTATAGTAATAGTATAATTATAAATAATCTAATCCTGATTAACTTCGGCTAGTGCAGGAAATAGCAGTCTAACTCCAATTATGCACATTAATTGAGCCACGTTAATATTCAACTTGTTCCATCTTCAATATCTCTTATCTTCGACAAGTAGGGGTTGGGAGAAGAGGAATGAGAGATCCCAAATCTATGTCCGAAATCTCACAGACATATTTATACTATGCTAAGGTTCTATTACCTCCTGAACTTATTTTATAAATAATTTTCTATTCATTTTCGATCTACGTGGCACTATTTTATGGGCCCAACATGTGTTGATATTTTTTTCAAGCTAGTATCACGTAGGTCGATAAGGAGTAAAAAATTATCTATAAAATAAATTCAGAAAAATAATAGGATATTTCTAAAATTTCGAGTATAAATTGGAATACTTAGGAAGAAAAAAAAAGTGTAGTTTTGTCTGATACAATAAACGCGTGTAATAATTGATATGAAGAGTGAACAATGAACATAATTTGTTGGTCCTTCAATATTCTTTCTACTCTACGAAATCAAAATGATTAAACTTTGAAAAAGAATTTAATTTTGTTTGATATGATACAAAAATGCTGCTACTTTAAGGAATATTTTGACCACAATTAATTTGTGTAGAACATTTAAAAGTTGCATGCCTTTTTCCATTGGTCATGAAAATTAATTAAAAGACACGTATCAAATTAAAGTTTCTCATTGTTTGCCGGAAATTATGAAGCCTTTTCTATGTTTAATTTTTTCATTTGATATGTTATACTATATTATATAATTTAAAAAAAGAATAATTTTTTGTTAGGTATATAATAAATAAATTAACTAATACTTGGTAAAAGTTAAAAGAGTTGAATTAGTTAACACGTGTATAGAGGGGGTATGATTAAATTCGTATTTACGTCAAAAAAATTTATAGTGGAAGATAAAACATTCTTCAGCTATGGCGTCTCCAGCTACTTTGAAGTACTCGAATTTGAGATCTCTTAGGCATAATGTAATAAGTTGAAAATAAAATAACAGAAAATGAATTAAAAGAATATTTAAACTGAGGCACAAATAACTCGCTCTTTTTCGAAGATAATCTACATCGATTCAACAATATTTCACTTGAGTTGTTCTCTCCATGATACAATAATCCAATAACATCGTACAACTCAAACAACTCTAAATTAGTTAAAAATTCCAAAACTCCACAAAAAATACACCTCCCTTTAACATATATAAATCATTATATAGTTAATATAGCTAAAGACTTAGAATATTTTCTTTCTCTCAAACTCTTTTTCGTTACCAATACATGTTTTAAGATATTTTTTCACACTTAACATATTCCATCTCTTACCCAACACAGAGGAAGTTGATGCACCATTATCTATAGGTAAGAAGTCTTTTACGTAATGAGTTTTCAAAAAAACTAATGGTAATATAAGTTACTGGTTAGGATTAAAAATAAGCAGGTGTAAATGTGGAAGCTAGCAAAGAAAATCTCGAAAGACCATGAGTAAAAATACAACGAGAAATACACCTTAAAGATACAAAGATTTAACGTGGTTCGGTCAATCGTTACCTACGTCCATAAAGGAAATGAGAAATCAACTATAAATATGAGAGTACAAAATATATAGAGAGAAACAACCTCAACCAATTCACTCGGAATACATGGGAGGTTCACACAAGTGATAACGTATCAAGCTTGTGACCTACAAATTATCCCCCTAACCAAAACTCCCAAAGCCCTTAAGACTACACTGTGAATGCTGATTAAGTTAGAAGGAACAATCCTCTATTTATAGAATTCTAAACATTATTCTACCAAAAAAAGGATTAGTCAATCCAAAACCTTTTCCTAAAAAAAAAACTATTTACAATAAGAAATTTAGGATAAATAAAGCCCAAACTAATAGTCATTCTTCTATCACAATTTATACCATAATCAGTCTATAACTAACATATGTACATTAATATAATAATATGCGTATACGTCAATGTAATTAAAAAAAAGAAATATTTATCACTGTACTTCATCCCTTCTTAAATAAAACGTATTTAATTTGGTGGGAAAAAAATACTTTCAAGGATTATGTTGGTTTCATCTAATATACAAATAATTCATTTCCTAACGAAGAACGAAACAATAATGATGGAAAGCAGCTAAGAATTTCTAAGACCACATATTTATATTGATTTATATTTTTTAGTCAACTAAAAATTTGATTGTAAGCTCAATTATTATCTTAAATGTATTTAAAGTCATTGCAGGAATTTATAAATTTTCAAATTATAAATCCTTCGCTTAAGTATTGAGTTTGACTGAGCACAAAATTTAATAAGTAAAAGAAAATCCATGAATCACAGTCTTAAATTAAAAATGTGCGCAATTCTTTAAATTGTGTAGTTTTAAACTCGTTAGGCAAAATGTTTAGAAATGAAAACTTACTAAATTTTTTTTTTATTTAAAAAAAAGAGACACCTATTTTGGGATAGAACAGGCAAATTTTAAAAGTAAAATACAATTTTAATTTGAATGATAAAGTACACACATAAAATGTAAAAATTATTGATTTACAATTATGATGAAAACGTATTTGAAAGAAAGTTGATCCAGTTGAATGAGGAGGGTAATTTTTTGAAATTGTAATTGATAAGAATTTTCAGTGATATGTTTATTTTTAAAAATATTATTTCCCCTGATTTTTTTCTTTCTGTTATCAAATAATTTTATTCTCGCAAATCAAACAAATAAAAAATATACATTAACAAATCAAAAATATTGAAAGTATGGCTAAAGAATCCTGCTATACATCAAAATATCGACATTTTGAAAATTATCCTATTTGGAAAAATTGAAAATGGGCCTAAAGAGCGCCCAACTACAAAGTCACCATGAAATGGGCCCAAACATGATCGTGGTTTTAATAACTAGCCCTTAATAATATAGCCACTTTTAATAATATCATACGATTATGCCATGTGGAAGGTGTTGAAGTTGTGTCTACAAGATTTGAACTCAATGGAAACTCTAAAGTGCAAATTTCTCACGAAACTAAGGTGATGATGGAATTGAAGTTAAATTAAAAAATAATAAGTATTGAAAAAACAGCTAAACTTTGTGAGTCGTTGTCGAAACTCAATTTTTTGCATATCAATCAAAGTTCAACAATACAATTTAGAGCAATAGTTTTGCGTGATAAGATGAAGGAGTTGATTTATGGAAAAAATAATAAGTATCGTTATATTCTTTTTGTGAAACGAAAAAAATAATAATAATTTTATCGTTATACCCTTTGTGGAGAAATTTCTTAGGGAATTTCTCATGTTATGTTTCAATCAAACAATCAAATCAATTTGGAAGAATGTGCACGAGTCAATAATGACTTGACCCAGCCGAAATTGCCGTCAAGTTTTTTCGTTTCAAATTAATTATTATTTTATTAACGAAATTATTAAAAATATGAAATTTTATTTTTTAAAAAGTTAGTGCGAAAAGATTATATTTGGTTGTAAAATATTGAATTTTAAAAATATTTTTCACTTTAAATTATTCAAAAATAAATAAATATAATAATAAATTTGAGACGAATAAAATAATATAAATGAATTCTTATATAATTTTAGTTCAAATGTGAAAATGAAAACAGAAAAAAAATAATAAAAATAGAGCCCACTCCATCAAGTAGAAAGTGACCCAAATTAAAAGACATGTATCATTTTAATTCGGAATATTTAGATATTTTTCCTATTTTTATTCCTCATTTCGTTTAATATATTAAACTTATAAATTAATTATTTAAATGAGTTTAAAATTTATATTTCACGTAAGTATGGAGATTAATGTTGAGGAATTTTATATATTTATTACTTTAGAAAATTTGATGAATATTACTTATTCGTTTTAAAAAAAAAATTGATTTATTTTCTTTTTTATTCTATTTTAAAAAGAATAATTTCTTTTTTCTAATGATATTTTAATTTTAATTTTTCACGTGACATATTTAAGGTTACAAAATTAAAAGATAATTTTATACGTTTAATTTAATTTTAATTTTAAACTCATAAAATTCAAAAATCTTCTATATAATCTTAAATTCTGTATCAAATTAAATTAAATTATTCTTTATAAAACGAATGGAGTATTAAATTTTGATTCTCATCATCTAAAACATAAGAAATCAATTTTGTCTCTTTTTTTTGGGGGGGAAACATCTTAGTAAGTACTCAAAAACAGCACGTGTTTCAACAGTCAATTCCAAGTAATAAAACGGCCAGGTTTTTTCACATTGGCACAATTAGCATATTTTTTTTTAATTTTATATAATAATATATAAATCTGAATCGCGAATTACAGAACCCATTCAGAAATAGGTCTTTCAAAATAATTTTTTTCATAAACTTGAACTCGAGATTCCTGGTTAAAGCAAACAACTTCATAACTATACCACTATCTATGTTGATTTAGTATATATTTTTTATTCTCTCACCAATAGTATTATTATTATAAAAAATTATTTCAATCATCGTATTTTTATTATTATTATTATTATTCACTTTCACATTTATTTGAAGTGTAGCTTAATCATTATTGTAATTTCTTTAAATTAAATTTCGATATTTTTTACTTAAGCTGAGATTTTATCGAATATAATAGGAATAAGATTGTGTGTACACATACATTGAATAAATTATTTTCATAATAATAATAAAAATAAAACTTAATATTATGAAATAAAAATATCTTTAATCCACTTGTTTGTTTTTTTTTTGGCTTCTTGTGGTTGACCTAGAGAAGAAAAAACAGTGACTTTTGGTGGAGTCTATAAAAAGAGTTTTAGTTTTATAACAATATTATATTATTTTCAAGTGGCATACTTTTCTTAGAATTTAAAGTAATTCATTTACAAATTTGCCCTTTCCTTAAATAGAGTTGAAAGAAAAAAACAGAGAAAAAGTTTCTAAAAATGGAAGGTTGCCAGAGGTCAAGTTCAGCTCCGGCAGGGGTAAAATTGGAAAGAAAAGATGTGGAGAAAAATAGAAGGAATTATATGAAGAATCTATGCAATCAACTTTATTCATTGATCCCTTCTACTCATCACTCTCGGGTTCGCGTTTTCTCCTCCTTCGTTATAATTTGTCGTACAGGTTAAAAAAGTCTTGTTTATTGCCTTACATTTTACGTCATGTCAAATCAGACAAACGAATTGAAACAAAGAAAGTACAAGTTGTTGACTCATAACTATTAGTACCATTTTTGTTACTTTTACACGTAGACTTATAGTCTTATACCACAACATTGAAAGTACTGAATTCAGATGATTTTATAATGAATGAGCTTGAAACGTGTATAATAATCGATTTTATTGAATATATTGCAGGAAACAATGGGATTGCAAGATAAAATAGATGCAGCAATAAAGTATATAAAAAGTTCAGAAATGAAATTGGAAAAAAAAAAGATACACTTGGAAAAATTAAGTAGGCTGAGTGGTAGAAAGAGGCCCAAATCATCCAATTCAACTAATGGGCCTAGCCCAAGTACAGGGTTATCATCATCACCTCAGATCCAATTCCATGAAATGGGCCCAAATATGGTTGTTGTTTTAATAAGTGGCCTTGATAATATAGCCACTTTTAATAACATCATTCGATTGTGCCATGATGAAGGTGTTGAAGTTGTGTATGCAAACTTTACACTCAATGGAAACTCTATGCTGCAAATTTCTCATGAAACTAAGGTATGATTTTTGTATTCTTCGAAAAATAAGTTATATTTTGATATTTAATCGTCAACATATTTCGTTAGGATAACATTTTTCTTTATAGTTTTCTCAACTAATCGTATAAAATCAATAGTTCGATATTATTATCTATCTTTAGTACTCAAATATTACTCCTATCAATTGTGATAATTGTTATTGTTTTTAAAGAGCATAACTTGTTTTTAGAAATTGGCTTCTATCGTATTAAAACACATCATGAATGACATTTATCATTTGTTGTTAAGTACTAAGAAAACCAGAACTTCAGGTTTACGAATTTATGATTCTGACATTCTTTATTGATTTTAAAATTAGTAATTTATAAATATAATCGAATTTTTTATGTCTAAAAAATATTTGTACAAATATTAGAAAAAATGCATGACAATTTGTCACTATTTTTTTTTAATTGTAGATCAACATGAGTTCAACAATGGAATGTAGAGCTGCAAATTTATGTGATAAGCTGAAGGAATTACTTCATGGAAAATCATATGACAATGAATTGGAATCCCAATTATATTTATGGGATTATATAGTCGAATCTGAATTATTAAAATTTTATGACGTGGAATTTCTACCATCAACAAGTCAAAATTCAAATATGTACAATTAATTTATCTTATTATTTCACTGTAACAATTAAAATTCATTCATATTATGTTAACATCTTTATTTTAAATTAAATGAATATCGAACCTCTTTTCATTCATTAAAATAGTTGAATCACAATAGTGAAATGGGAAAAAAAAATATGTCCGGGAAACAATTTTAATGAGATATTGATTTATTAATTAATTCATAATATTTTTTTTATAAAAGCATATTAAATCTATTTGTTGAACAAAATTTATCTTATTATTTCACTGTAACAATTAAAATTAGTTCATATTATGTTAATATCTTTATTTTAAATTAAATAAATATCGAACCTCTTTTTATTCTTCAAAATAGTTGAATCACAATAGTGAAATAGGAAAAAGCATCTCGAGAATCGATTTTAACAAGTTATTGATTAATCAATTAATTCGTAATATTTTTTTACAAAAGCATGTTAAATTTATTTGTTAAAGAAATTTTATTTTATTATTTCACTGTAACAATTAATATTAATTCATATTATGTTAATATTTTTATTTTAAATTAAATAATTATCAAACCTTTTTTTATTTCTCAAAATAGTTGAATCACAATACTAAAATAGGAAAAAAAAAGTCCGGAAAACAATTTTAATGAGCTATTGATTTATCAATTAATTCATAATATTTTTTTTACAAAAAGCATGTTAAATTTAATTTTTTAAACAAAACTTTATTGTCTTGAGTTTAATAAAATATCAAGAAGATGTAGAGGCATTGACCACAAAAATAATTAAAAATAATCTTTGTGCTATATAATCTCCACCCCATTTTATTATTGGCAACGTACAGCGCTAAATACACTATGAACAAAGTGTATCAGAGACTCTAATTTATTGCCTTCGTCTTCCTTAATTAACTCAATTTATTTTGACTCAGTTATTAATTAATTTGATTTTAAATAAATGTATATATAGAGGCATTTGAATGCACAATGATAATTGTAATTAATTATCGTGCCAGAATATCAACCACATTTTATTATTGGCAACGTACAGCGCTGTATACACTATTAAAAAAAAGTGTACCAGAGACTCTAATTTATTGCCTTTTTTATTAAATAATAATAATAATTACATCAATTTAAATAAATAGGCTCAGAAAATAAGAATTGAGATAAATCAATAAGCTTATAATTAAGCTTTCTTAGTTTGATGGTATAAAATTTCAATCATCATTGCCTTAAATCATATAAAATTGAATATAATTTTAAAGTATCAGAAAAAATAAAATCTTTTCTCATACACAGCATTTGGCGTACTGTGTCAGAAGGTGTCCTAAGATTTTATAATTTCATCATATACTTATGTAGACTACAAAACGTTATTTCTAGCGATAATAATTATCGAAGAAATTGATTTTCGATCTCAACTGAGATCTGAAAAAGATAAAATAAAGATGAAAAGAAAAAGATAATGAATCAGAAAGAACGTAGCGAATAAGGATATATTTTTGGATCATTTGAACAAAAATTGATCATCATTTCTCCTTATATTCATCATTTTCATTCGATAGATAGAAAAAAAAATACAAATAATACATAGTGAGAAGAAAAATTGAGATCGGCGCAGTGTAAAAGAGTTGAGTACAGAAGTTTACAGAATTGAGGGATTTATAGGAGGAGAAGAGGAATATGGAGCCCTAATTAGATTAAGGCCCATCTTATTTGATGGTTTGGCCCAATTACTCCCACCAAAGTCCAAAAGCCCAATTTATTTTATATGTTTCACTTTATATTTATTTTAACTTAATTGATTGATTTCGAATTTCAATAACAACATATCGCGTAGATCTAGGTGTTTTTCAATAGATTCTCGACTCAGGACAATGACAAACGTAATGAAAGTAGAAGAGATAATATGTAGTAAACAGAACAATAGATAGTAATAGAATAGCACTTTAACAAAATAATGCTATGATTGAACTATACACAGGGCCAACTCAACTACATTAGGCGCCTAAAGTGAAACTGAAGAGATGGCTCTAATATTTTGAATTTTCATCATATAGAATTTTATTTAAAATCTACTTATTTAGCTATTTTAGATGTAAAGTCATTATGTACTGTTTTATAATCAATTTATTTTAATAATTCTTTTTTCAAATGGTAATATAGACAATTCATTCAATCTCTCTTGAGACATTGTTGATCTTAAAAAAGATTTAATCAATTTTAATTTCGAAAAAAGGTAACGATTTAAAGGAACTGTTAACATTATTCTATAAGAAATATGTATATTTGGAAAAGTATAAAGTCTTTTTATTTGATTGAATATTTTCGTTAGATCATTATCTTCTACTTGTATTAGTTTTCTTGAGACTTTTAATTCAAAAATATAAATTTAAACCATCAATATTAGAATAACTATTACATGTGAATTTCGGCTAAAGTCCACTCTATATATTTATTGACTTATCTCAAATGATTATTCCTTTTTTTAATTTTTTATTAGATTGACCATGCCATTGTTCATTCATTTAATTGACAAAAATTACAAAAGATTATAAATGTGTTTTGTACAAGCAAACAATATAACAAAGGAGGCTAACTAGGAAAGTTCTACACACTACAAAGAGTGGTCCAAGATAAATATTATTTATTCTCTACTATTTCTATAAATATTTAATTAAATATAAAACTTCGAATCTTAGAACAAGTCTCTTAATATATTTTTTAAAAAATAAATAAAAATTACATATTTTTCAAAATATACTATATTAATATGTGAAAAAAGTGTGATACGTAAACTAATAAACGATATTGGAGTGATGAATTCAAATAAGTTAACGATGTTGACACTTTTCTGATTTTTATTAGCCCTAATCGATACAAGATTTGACGTATGCAGTGATTTTATATTTCATCGATATTTTTGTCATTTTTTGCATGTGTACACGTAGAGTTTCTTTATTATTTGTTTCAATATATTTTTTATAACTTTTTTTATTTTTTTATTTTTTTTTAAAAACAGAGAGATTGAAAGCTCTTTTTCATTCATGAGTCTATTCTTTTGGTCCTAATCATAAGACTTTGTGTAGACATGAGTTTATGAGATGACATGAAAATGAGTAAAGATTTTTTTTTCTTTTTTTAATAATTCATGTCGATAATGTGAAAATAAATTTAATAGTTTATTCCTAATAAAACAAAAAAATAAACTATATATTGTGCAACATAAACCCACTGGCTCCAAAGTTTTAATGTAGTACCAATTAATAAATAATTTTTTTTTCATCTAAAATTATCTAGATAAAATTGTATATGATAGCAAACTATTAATTCAAAGTAAATGTTATAAATATATTTTGATTTAATTGTACTATATAACAAACTATAACTATTTTCGCCACTCTCCTTGGTGGAATCTTGCTCGCCTCTCTCGCTTTTATACAAACACAAATGTGTAAAATATGTTTGTGTTTATATTAAGCGAGAGGAAATTATATAAACACACATATTTTCATTCACCTCTCTCCCTTCTCCCTGATCTCGCTCGCCACCCTCGTCTCTCTCACTTATACAAACAGAAACGAAATGTATAAATTGCATTTCTGTTTGTATAAAGCGAGAGAAAATTGTATATACGCATGCAAATAAGTATATTTTCGTCCTATACACTTATTATTATACAGTAAAAATACCCCACTGCCCAGATTCTTTTGTCTTTCTCTCTTTCTCGTTTTATACAAATTCAAATTGTATATAATTTCTCTTTTTCTCGTTTTATACAATTCACTTCAACAGTATATGTATAGCAAATTATACATATATATGTTTTTTATGGAGCGCAATTATGCAAACTTTGTTATAACATACAAATATGAATTTTATGTTTGCTATATGCAAAAGTTGTCGAATTATCTATTATGTTTCTCGTTTACTGTACATCTCATAACAATATTAATTAGAAGGAGTATTTTTAAAATATATATTTACTTCTACTTATTATGTCTTAATATAAGATATATATTAATTAAATATTTATTTTTATTGAGTTGTTTATAGTCTTCAAGAACAATTACTAGTAAAAGTAAAATTATAAAAATTGATTTTATCAAAAAAATCCAAAATATCAAATAATTTTATACAACTAATTTTAAAAATTACGATAAATATTTTGAAAAACTCAAATTACTTTGGAAATTTAAAAGTACCAATTCAATTGCTCCAAAGAAGCAAACAAAGGCAGTTATATTTTTTTAAAAATAATTATTAATTAACTTGATTAACTTTTAAAGTTAAAGTAAAATAAAATTTATTTATAACCTAATTTTTTTAAAAGAAAAATATTAAAGATTAGATACTTATGGTGGGAAAAGAAGACATTCATGTAATTTAAATTTATGAGAAGAAAAAAGTGACAAGTAAATTAATCTGCTAATAAATTCCTCATATAATAAAAACATTATCGAAGTCTTCAAATTATAGTATGAGTTCTCTAATTTCTATATTTTTTACCAAATCGGTCCTTAATTCATTTTTTTCGTCTGCAAAAAAGTAAAATCATTGTCCATTCAGCTAATAAATATATACAAAAGATTACATTTGTGTTTTATTTTGTATTAAATTTGACTATTGTCCTTTTATCTAATTGAACTATAAAAACTAGAAGTATCGTTATAAATTATCTCAAATTATTTTTTCTCAAATAGAAAAAGTTAAATATATTTTTTGAAATATATTACGAGAAAACACGTGATACATAAATAAAATATATACTCTCGTAAAGATGTTTGAGTTATGGACAAAGTCTAATTATAATGTTGGCACTTTTGTGGTAGCCTTGGCCCTAGTCGACATAAGATTTTACATTTGCAACTATTTATTTTCTTGATAGATAATGTTAAATAATCAGAAAATTTAATTAGAATTTAGTTAAAAAATTTTAAAAGTGCATAATATATATTTTACTTTAAAGTAAATTGATCTTTTTTCATTTTTTAATTAAAAGATATTAAAGTTAAAAGTATAAAAATATTCAAAAGATAATATAACGTAGGTAAAATATTATTATAATAAAATTTTCTGACCAAAATAATTTTTCCGATCTCGATACGTTTGTCATTTTTTTGCATGTGTGCATGTTGAATTATTTTATATATA